TTTTGTGCCACCATCCTGTTCCGAAGGTTTTTGCTAGACAAGCAAAGGCTGACCGGCTTTTGCGAAGACATGGGTGGTAGAAGGTGGTGTGAAGAGTTTGTCTGAAGAAAGAAGCCGATGCGGCCGATGTGAATTAGAGGGCCTTCTACCTCTTCCACACAACGCTGAATCTATTGACTGTTTGTTTTGACAATGAATTGTGCATTGTCCACACCGCAAAACACCAGCAGCGCCATGTGAATCTCCAACCATCTAGTGTTCAAACCTTTGCTTCAAGCATAAAAGGCATAAGAATTCTCCCCTTCCTTGTTCGAGGCCACAGGCCACCGGGCTGTTCCAAGAGCGTGGAACATTGCAAAGCAACACAATGCAATGGTGGTACAATGATTGTTGCCATGCTGGTACAAGCTCACCGTCGTCACCACGGCAGTGGTCGCCTCACATGCAATATTGCTCGCAACGGAGTCGCCGCATTGGACTGGCTAGCTTAGTGGATTCCAGAACCAACTCTTGGGTTGCTGACAAAGTAAAGTTCTGGTGCCGGAGCGGATTTGTTGACTTGTTGCGTTAGTTTGACTTTAGCGTTCTGGCAAAACTTGTTTGATGTTTAATGCGCAGTTTTTGGTCCATGCTTTGTAGGCGAGTCTCTTCGTTCCACACCGTGCGAACGATCATCCTGTGCATCAAGCATCGAAGACCGCCGTGTGCAACTAGGCGTTGATCCTTTTGAATATGGGAGCGACACATCAGCGGACTCTCGGGAGCGGCAGGCTGGCAGCCATTCTTGAGCAGCGTGTTGGTGTTTTTTCAATATTCTGTTTGGATGGTCTGAAACTTTCTGTGCAGCTCCTGGACTTGGGCCTTGACCCCAAGGAGGGTGGTGCCGCTCTCGTTTGTGCTTGATGTTGGAGCCTGTTCGCCCGATGCAGCATGCACGTAGCGTTTTTTTTTCACCTTGTCACTTGGGCGACCCAGGTGCTGCGGAACTCAGTTCGGAGGCTTGCATTTTGCAGTCTTGCATGTGTAGGCAGGCAGTGATGTTGAATGTTTCTGCATCAGCTTACGAGCCCAAGTGCGCAGATCCCTTTCCTCAGGCAAGACCAGGAATCATGTACAATTCTTTTCGTAAGAATGGCCGATGTTGATAATTTAACATATGGGAAGGTCCGCAAAGCTGCGGAGTACAAACTAAACCTTTTCATCGGCCGTGCCTGGAGCTGAAGTGCAGTTGCCAGAACTTATCTGGATCCACGCTTTGGTTTAATGATCCTATGTGAGCTGCATGACCTAACACAGATTTTCTGGCCCCTCGGATCCACGTTCAAGCGCGGATTCCTTAGGCCCAACTGCTGGTCACTGCCTCAGGCTTCCACTGCATGATCGATAACTTCGTATCCATCCATTTGCAGCATCGCTGGTTGAATGCAAGGGTTTGACTTTGACACTATGCATTTGGAAAAATTGCCGGTGGCACATAGACCCTTGGCTCACAGTCAAGCGGTTGCCTTTGATCCGGAAGCGGACTGTGTGGGCTCGCCTCGGGCCCGGTGACAGAGAGGCTGGCTTTTACTCCTTTTTGGGTGTTTGGGGGTTTGAGGCCAAGCGACAAAGCCAACAGCGAAGCGTGCAGCAGTCGGATGATGCCACATGCACAGGAAATGGCCGCGGTACCGTTCGCAAGGTCTTTCGTGCGCGTCTCAGGGGGGAGTAAAGTAGGTGTTTCTGCAGATGAACACCTTTACAGTTAACTGCCGTTGACAGCTCGAATCAGCGATTTTGCAGGGAAACCTCTTGGCCGGTTTTCCGTGATCCCCTGCTGGTTCAAGCTGGGACATGCCTTGGCAAGAACCAGAGCTGGATCGACTGCCCAACACTGCCCAGTTTGATTGAAGGTACTGCTTATCTATGTAGCGACAGTCGGGAGCCCCAGCGCTGGCAATCTTAAGATGGTGTGCTATCCAAGCACTGAAGATTATCTTGAGCCACACTGGATGCTGTCAAGTAACTGCACGGTAATGCCGTCGGACAGACTGCTCAGTGCAGCATCGTGAGTCGTATCTGCTGCTGGCTCGAGACGTATGTGCATCATCTCATGCTCAACGGCGCCCGCGCACTGACAGAAGCAAGTGCATAGACGCTATAGCTTCATCTCCGAGCGTCCGTTGCCAATTTTTCCGGCCGGTTCAACCGGAAGATGTACCCAAGGATGCGCTGTGCTCCAATTTTGTAGAGAGGCTGCCTTTGTTCGTGTTCAGATGCTACGCACGACCCACTCAAGACACGCACGTAGTTCGCGACTTCGATGGAGCAACATGGAGATATTGATGGTCCTCCTTATCGTTGCATTCGTGCTGCTGCTCGTCGGAACCGTCCTGGCCTTGAGGCTGGACCGATTTGCAGCACATCAAAAATTCGACTCTTTGCGGGTTTACTCGTGCGAGCACTCTTGCTTTGCATGGGTCTTTTTGTGCCTCTTGATGTGCGCATGCACAGACACGAAGTGCTTGCTTGAGGGCCATGCAGCAAGTGTGACTAGGTCCTGGCGTTTGATGGCTTAATCGGTTGCAGTGGTTCCAAGAGACTGAGTTGCACGTTTTGGAGCAGCCTTGTGTGCCAAAGTGCAACGTCAGGTGCCTCAGCATCGAAGAGCAAAACCCACGTCCACCCATATCCGGGCTGACGCTGGGTGCCATTCGGCCCCACACCTTCGCGATCTTCAATGGTGGCTTGGATCAACAAAATAGAAGCCAGTTCAGCACGCAGCGCCGCCGTGGGGGCCTGGAGCCTCGTGCGTCGAGGGCCACGTGCACTTTGTAACAACAGGCTTCACGCCGAAACAGCTGGCATCCAGGCAGGAAATAGCACGCCAGACAGAATGAAGTTTCCAAAGCTGACCACATCTTAAACACTGAGCACTGTTGCGTTTACTGAGCATCCCACAGCCCCAAGCAATCAGCGTTCGGAAAGAAACCCACAGCCCAGGACATCAGCTTCAAATTCCGGCTCTCAGTTTTTCTTCATCAAACCCATCGAATTAGAGGCCCCAGCGGGAACTCCGGTCAGGGGGAAGTTTGACTTGAGCTTTTTGATCCGCTTGTGAAGCCCAGGCGAGTGATGACACACATGTGACCGTTTCTCATTTTGCTTTGTGCTCCATTGAAGCATCCCAGCGCAGGCAACTCATTGCGAGCCCTCCACCGAGCTTTGAGTCCCTTGCTATGTTGCTTGGCTGGGATTGCAGCGACATGCAGTGCAGGGTATCATGCGGCGTTTGACCAGCGTAGCAGCAGGCTTTGTGCAGCTTGTTTGCAACTTTCCGTCGGAGTTGTTCGCTTTGGGAACCGAGGTCGACAGCATCGTCAAACGAAGCTTTCAGGCTGTGTGCGATTCGGGCCTGGGGATTTCGGCAGATTCAGTTGTGGCCACTGTGACAGTTCCATCCAGCAAGCAGCTAATTGAGGTATCAAGGGCTTGCCGGCCAGCTTTCTTGCATGTTTTCGTTGGGTACGTCTGCACGTTTGGCTCGGTGTACTTGGTTTGCGTTCTGTCAGGGATAATAGGGCGCTCATGCAAAGACCCTGATGTGGATGAGGACAGCTCACCCAGCTGCACAATAAACATCCATGCGCCGGCAGAGTGATTGCCAGCATCAGAAGCCTTTGTCGGAGTTCCCGGCCAACCCAGCACCTCCTCGGCCAAGCGAGCCACACCCACGCAGGATAGAGCAACTTTCGTGGTGTTGGGATGCTATCCTGCAAGGGCCCGTGTATTGCCTTTTGGGTCTTTGGTGGCATAGCCTCTTCGTGACCCTTCGAGTGCAAGTCACTAGAGATGCTGATCCAACGAGCACCAGTACTGTCGCCTTTCGCATCGTTGCCTTTCCCCAACCGGCCCCACGGCACTTTTGCACAAATCCCCAGCGCAGCTTTGCACTCGGAGGCCTGGGACTGCGACGACTCCTGAAGGAATTAAGCCTTTACCACCTCCGGGGTCTTGGTCAAGGGTGCAGAGGAAGGTGATGATTTTCGAGCTTGGCTACCAAGCTGTCTTATTTCATGCCTGCTTCGAATGCCTCCGCAAACAACCATAGTTGGACAAGAGCAAGACGTCAGAAATATGTGCATTTACATTAACTTCATGTCAATGCCTGGCGATGCCATGCAGCTTCGCATCAAAGTGCTGCCAGGACATTCGAAGTATGCGAATGCAATGCAGGTAACCCACCTCAAAGCCAGCGACTTCACCCGACTTCGCCCTCGTCCAGCTGTGCTTGTGAAGTGCCGAAATCAACTTGCTGTTCCTTTTCATTCCGGGCGAAACCGCATTGCAGCGCAGGTAGGCGTCGCGAATACTGATGACAAGCAGATTTGACAACTCAATAGCTAGACCACTTCGTGTATCCTGGACAGCTGACTGCGCAGATTCCGGATCGACTCAGGCATTCCTCAGTCTTGAACTTGAGCCCTGTTTATTAATCTTCAGAGGTGTGGAAAGCCCTCCCGTCCTGCTACTTGCTTGAAGCCATGAATGCCAACCGGTCCCATCCGCATATTCTTCAAGGAACGTGTGGTGCTATGTTGGATAAATGCGGCCGTTGCAGGATTGTCATGGTTTGCCGGTTTGTCAATCTGCCGGTGGAGTGGAGGGTCAGTATCCCTGATATTGAGTGTCCTTCTGTTGATTGCTCACAGGGTGGCTAGCAGTGAAGTCCAAGCATCACTGCAAGTACCTGCACAGGGCAGACTTGGAGTAAGGTGTACAAAACTGTTCATGCTCACGGCGGAGTTAGCTTCTGTTGCAGTGTTGGGCGCTGCGACCTGGCTCGAATCTCGAGGGGAGTTGCCACATGCAGAGGTGCAGCCGTGTCCGAGCCACTGAAATGCAACATGACATGGCGCTTCACATGGTAACAGCATGGCGGCTTGCAATCATAAATACTTGTTTGCGCCAAAGCAGATGTTTGATTGGCCCAACTTGCCTGACGATCATTGCAGGGAAGAATGGAGCCATGGTTGCTTGCTTTGGTGTCGGCGTTGGTAGCATGTGTGGCTGGTGTGCATCTTGCCATGACAGTGAATGACTCCGTGGCCGGTTGAGATTTTCGGTGGGCCCTTTCCAACAGCAGTTGTCGCCTTCCGGTCCTCCGGGCGCTTTCGTTTTGCTCGGCTTGAGAATTCGAGCCGAGCGGGGACCATTTCGTGTCCTTCCAGGCTTCTTTGGTGGCTCTATGGGCTGACGAAGACCTTCTTGGACGATGATCCAGCAGATGCGAGCCTCCGTGCAGAGAGATGGTCCATAGCGTGCAGGATTGGGGTCTGTTTCGATCGAGTTGGGTAAGACCCGAATCACAGGGTCAAGAAGGTACCAAAAATGTTGCCGGAAAAATGCAGTTGCAGTTTTGCTGACCTCATCAGACAGCTGGGGAAGCCAAGGACTCGAATCGAGGGTCTTACCCTGAGGCCACTTAGATTTAAGATTGCCGTTTGCTCTCAGAATTCCGTAGGCTGATCTGGGTTCGTGAGCATGCACGCACGGCATATGCTGAGCAGGGCGCTGCACAGAGATGGCAAGACAATTGAGGTTGTTTGGGAATATGTCCTTGATAGAGCTGATCTTGAAGGCGAGGCAGCTACAAAAAGAGGCGGGTGACTCACGCCCATCGGCGTATCATACCCGGTTCATCCCGGTTCTATTCCAGCGAGCCTTTGCGCACCCGGAAAGAAATCGCACTTTGAGAGGCGGCCTTCAAGGAGCAAATCTCCGAGGCCCAGGAGGTGGACTCGGAAGAGACCCTTTGGTACGACTCGGCCGGCTTTCAATGCAGGGATGTCTTTATCGAAGTGCCGGAACTGTAGCCGCTGTAGCCCAACCCCGTTTGGTCCCGGTCTTTGAACCCAGAGGGTCAAAGTTTTCTGCTCGCGGCAAGCTGAGGATTTGTACGATCTGCTTGGAAGCCGCTGTGCTGTTAGGGATCTGCCGGAAGTGCTTGTCGAAGGGTTCTTCCAAGTTGAAGGTCAAGCTTGATTCCTGCTGCTTACCATTTCTGGATCAGAGCCATCTTCGTGACAGCCATGCAAAGGCACTGGGTGACCACGACTCAGCTAAGAGACTGAAGTGTGGCCATGCAGCTGGGACCGCAAGTAGAAAAAGTATGCTAACTGCTAACTTGTAAATGCAGGGAAACAGCTGCACTTGCACCCCATCCCGTGTTGGGCTGCGTGTTCCTTGCATGGAGCTCGAAAAACAGAAAACAACGGTCACACACTCACACGGAGTTTCGTCAGACCAGCTTCCAGGTGCACGCACAAAAAGACCTTTCGAGTGGCAATAGCTGAGCCGAGGTTCATCATGCATCATGCCTGCTGTCCTGGTGCTTGAAGTTTGAAGGCAATCGGGCTGCAGCTAAGAGTGGCAGATTGCGGCCTTCGTCTCAAGAGCAAAGCCTGCGCAGGAAACTTTGTTCAGTGCCCACACTGCCGGTACTGCCAGCACTTCGACGCAGAGCCTTCGGCTGCAAGTCAGGAAAGCAACACGGCAGAATTCCACTCGCCCGGAACGGCTCGGCTGTCTAGCCATATACAAAAGCTTTCTCCGCATCTCTTGTTTCAGCCGACGATGAGCGAAGCAGGAACAGCAAACGTCCAAACGGATTCCCCGCTCGTCCAGGCATTGCCACTGCTTCCCCTTAATGTTTGAGAGCTTAGACCCATTTGGGCTCACAGCCGTCAGGTGTCGGAGCCCCGCGATATCGAAGTTGGGAATGTCCAGTCGTGAACTATTCGTTTCCTTGGTGGGCCTGGATGTCGCTACCTGGAAACTAGTGTGAGCGGCAAGTCGAATCCAGGGTCCAGCTCGCCTGTCTTAGCCTTCCTGGCCAACAGCTCAGTGAGAGGCTTCTTCGAAGGAGCTCCTTCATTCCTAGCAGGACTGCCTGCAAATGGGGGGACGTGCACCCAGCATGTGCAAAACACAATGCCTTTTCTGTGCATCTTTCGACGACGGGTGGCTGCCGAAGGTGCCGATTGAATTGTTACAGTGTTACAAGACAATGAATTCGGATACGGCCTCGTATGTTAGTTCAGCCGACATCCCATCGCAGCCAAGCTGTTGTCCTGAAGTGGCCAAAGTTTTCAGTGCATAGCGAATTCACCGCCTCGATCCTCCGTTTCTTCGGGATCTGAAATTGGACTTTCGGAAATTTTCTGGTGGTCGAAGACACTCTCTACAAGCATGAAGAAAATCAAGAGTTCCGGCTGCAACAGTGTGTGTTGATCCAAATGAACAGCCCTCTCTACAATATCTTCTGTGGCAAGAGCGGTGCCGGACGCCTAAGCTTGAAGAAGAAGCCGCCCAAGCAAAACCTAAAGCAGTTCACCAGGAAGACCTTGGCACTTCTGTCCATGCGTACATCCCAGAGCGAGGAAAGGGTTTCTAGCGTTCGTGCACGATGTGCACGATGTACCCCTCAGTGGTTATGATGGAGGCCCGTTCGCTGTGCCGTCATTGAGCCTTAGCCAGAGGCAGGGAATCTCGGAATGGAGATCATTGGTGAGCCCACAGAGCAAAATTCCGGGTGCTTCTGAGAATATGATTCTGAGAAGCCTCAGTTCCATATGAGCAGCATTTTGCCACTTAGGCCATAGTCAGAATGTAGGCATGCGAGCTCCTTGAAATTCCTTATCTTGCGCTTGTTCTGCCACTGTTTCTGTTTTGCCCAGAGGGCCAACTCGCCGCGCACTGCCTGGGTTGGGAATGCTTGCAATCTCAACGTAATTGGCATGCTCTCGGTTAGATCTTGGGTGATCATGGTTTGCGTCACTCGCAGCGTGGAATCAGCAGATCTTCCTGGCCCAGAATCAAAATGATTCTTCAGGCAGGGTTCCTTCCGCGTGAGCTGCCTTTCCGGCAGCATCGCTTCGCGGATGAGCTGCCGATGTAACCGCACAGCTGTCCGGCAGCTTGGTGCCGCTCAATAGTTTGCGAGCTTGCTTGGTGGTAAGAACCCATTCTGGACCTAAAATCGGTACTGCCAGGGGTCTTTGCGCAAGTGTATGCTGATAGAACATTTTCAAGTCTTGCGACGGCAAAGAATGTGGTGAAGCGGTGTAAGGATTACGTGTCAAGGTGGGCTTCAAGACACAGGTACTTCAATGTCCAGCTTGCCAGCTATACCCCTGAAATCCTAAACCCTACCGGCCGCACATCAGCACTGTTTTGAGTATGACTTCCACATTTAGATCCGGACTTGGGATCCATCAAGTGGGGTATGAGGTGTGCCGCCCTCATGCCGTTCTGTTCTGCTACACAAATTTGCACATGTACAGGGACAACGACAAGAGGAGCACCGACAGTATTGAGTATTGATGATGCATCATTGCGCTAGCACCGAAGAATCATGTATGGTAAATCAAAAAAAGTGCCGACCCAGCCGCTTGCGCCGCTGGTGATTCAGGAGCATTGACTCCGTTGTTTGGAGGAGAGGAGGGCCCACTCCTGCTTTAAAGGCGCAGCAGGAGCCAGTTTCGCCCGCCTTTTGCTGGAGCCTTCAGTTACGGAGATGAAAAAGGGTCATTGCAACCGATTGCAGTGCTGATGAGAAGGTTGGTTTGCGTGGTGAGATTTTCGGGCCCCTGCCTTTGTGCTTGTCCAGACTCTACTAACTAAGTGCCAGGGTTGGTGAAGAATGAGACTACTAGCGGTAGTTACTAGCGAGTTGTGCTTCGGCCAAATGTCTGAGGCCGAGATGGCACCTCCGGAGGCTCACGACAGGGTTGCAGAGCGCCGCAATGATAACAGGACATAGGGGTACCTTGCCTCGGCACGGTACACTTCGGCTGGAGTGACATGATGCATTGTGCAGCCCGTTTGCTTTCAAGCTGCTTCTAGCGCAAGCACCGGCGCCGCAGCTGGGTGAAAGCCCCCACCCCCAACCCTCCTGCAGTGTTCACAAACAGCACATGACATCGCCGCAAGCCCGCACCGAGTCAGCCGGACCAAAGGCGAGAGCACTCGCCGACAAGCCTGTGCCTTCCACAACGAGCTGCACAGACTTGTGACACAGGCACGGGAAGAGTGCGGCAAGTCATGTCAACGAATGAAACTGTATCCTCGTCCGGTATGGGAGTCTCAGCTGAACCTGGCTTTGCATAATCGCTTGGCTTTTGGATTGCCTGTGGCTCTGCTGATTGATCCTGAAGGAGGACACTCACGGATTGCACTTGATTAAGCGTCCTCTCCATGCCCCCGAATGCAGGCCACCATGGCTGAGGAAGATGGCGCACTGGCAGAGCAGGCAGAATTGGCTTGAGAGTTGAGATCTTGGATGGCTGAATTCAAGCAGGTTTGATCATTGCTGCTGTCGCCTGTTCTGCTAAGCTTCAAGGTCCTTGCAGCGGTTAGGAAGCCCTTGGTAGCTTGGGAGCGGTTGCCCCTATGCAAGCAGCGCTTTTGGCTTCCTTTTCCGAACATTCGATAGCTTCCTACAAGAGCAACAACGAGTCGGTTAGAAGTTTGAGATTTCATGGTCACGCGTTCAACATGTGGCGAGAGTTGGCTTGAAGGCTTCTCACCCCTGCTCATATACATATACGTGTCAACATGCTGCGGCTTCATGCACCCAGAGACTCCAATAATCCTTATAATTTAGGAATATACCTTAAACTATAATAGGAACCCAAACAAGATTTAAGGCATATTCCTTAATTAAGGAATATTGG